CCCCCCCCCCCCCCCCCCCCCCCATATCTTGACACACAGGGTCTTGAATCACCGTTCTCTCAAACCAATTTGAGTCTCTGAGGAGGCATACCACTCTTTTATATGGAGAGCTACACCTCCTCCCTTCTTCCCTACCCAGTCCCTTCTGTACAGCCTGAAACCATCTATGCATACATCCCAGTCATGCGTGGCATCCCACCAAGTCTCCATTATTCCAAGATCATATTCCCTATTTGCTAGCACAGGGGTGGGCAAAATAGAATGGCCTGGTTGGCCAAATACGGCCTGCAGGCTGTATCTGGCCTGTGGGCCCCCTAAAAATGTAGAAAATTAATTATGTGCCCCTGGCTGCCTGGTACAAGATAACAAGTGTGCCAGCAGCAGCAGCAGGACCCAGGAGTCATAGCAGCAAGGTCCAGCTTGGCAGAGACTTCTGGCCTGGGGACCCTGGGGCTGTTCCCCTGCCTTCCCTCCCTCCAGGAGTGCAACTCAGCTAAGAATGCAGGGGGGAGGACCAATGGTGATTGCCCCAGTCCTTGGGGCCGCGCCAGCTCCTGATGCATCCTGTGGTCTCAGCAGTGCAGCCAGGAATCGTGTGGTGCTGGAGCATCCAGCAGGAAAGGGGGCAAGCGGTGGTGGTGGGTGCGGAAATGATGGTGACAGCAGCCACAGGTGGGGGGGAGTGCAGGCGGGAGCTCAGCAACAGCTGGGTGGGAGCGCAGGGCCTGCACTGGGGGGAGGAGTGGAAGCGGGAGCTCAGCAACAGCTGGGTTGGGAACGCGGGGCCCGCGCTGGTGCCCTGGGGCTAAGGTCAGCAGGGGCCCAGGGCAGGACGGCAGGAACATGGGACCTGGGCTGGCAGGGGCTCTGTGGAGCCAAGCCAACTTTACCCTTCTGTCTGCTGGCACAGCCTGGCCTGGCTCCACAGAACCCTTGCCAGCCTGGGCCCCATGCTCCTGCCTAGCTGTCATTGCACTCCCACCCACCTGCTGCCACTTTCCTCCACCCCCGCTATTTCCCTGCTTTTCTCCCCACCCCTTGCTCAACTGCTTCAGCACCACATGGTTCCTGGGTGTATCTCTAGGACCACAGAACGCAGCAGAAGCCAGCTTAGCTTAGACCCCGTGATTCCCAGCTGGCTCTCTGTTGTGCCGGCTGGGCTGCCTCCTGCTGTGTTCTGTGGTCCCAGCTATGCATCCAGGAACTGTGTAGTGCCATAGCAGCCAGCAGTGGGGGTTCTTCCTCCACCACTGGTGCAAGGGTCTCATACTTGTTGCACAGCTGAACCGGAGAAGTTTCCCTTGTGGTATGTGGCCTGGAGTATACTGCCCAATCAGACTCGCATCCCTGTTCACCTTACCTGTCCTGCAGCAGTTTTCCCTAGCTGCATTCTATCTTAAATAGAATTGTAAGCACTTCAGAGCAGTCTCATCCCTGTGTGTTTGCACAGCAACCAGCAAAATGGGACCCTGAATCTGATCGGAGCCTCTGGAAACTACCACATTACCCAAAGTAATAACTACATCCATCTGTGTTAGCACAGTTTCTCACCCCAGGACTATTTTTAATGTAATTTAGCACAACTGAGATGGAAAACAGTCGTCCAGGTTTTCTCTCGGGCATCCCCCAAATCCAAAGAAGCAAATATTGTGTCTGCAGGTCCAATCTTTATACTATGGCACAACAGGAAATCTGCTTTCATTTGCAGGGTGATGTCTGTGTCACATTTGGTTTTGTTTCTTCAGACAAACATTCTGTAGCTTTTATTTCTTTTAGTTCCTGAGGTCACTTACCTAAACTGTCAAACTGTTTCCTAATGAAGTGGCAAATGGACCTAAAGTCAACACTTCATCCAACAGCATAAGTAACTGTGCTGCTTCACAAGGAATGGGATTTTCAGAAGCACTCTATTGGCATCTTTGTTCCTCCTAATAATTAACTGTAGATTGAATGTCTTTCTTTCTTTGGTCTCTTGTGTAGTTTGTAGTAGTCTATATTCTTATGAAGGAGCATACTGCCAGTCAGACTCGCATCCCTGTTGATTTTTTCTAATTAATTAGCAGAAGAGTTGCATTTGAAGCAATCTGAGGAAGGAGATCTTAGAGATATTAGCTGTTCATCTGTGTAAGTTTTTGCTGCTGCTGCTGTTCGTCTCTTGACTTGGGGTTCTGCACTCAGTAACTTTTGAATATCTGTCTTGCTGCTCTCTGGAGGTTAGATGGAATTATGCATCTGCTGGGAAGATTTTTCCCCTTTAAGTAATCTTTTTCTTGTACTCTTCACATTCATCCAGTACTTTTCAAGTTCCTTTTCAAGTCTTTTTGAAATCAGAATTCTCATATTCATTTTCCACTCTTCCTTCCTCAGCATCGATTTCTCATATTTATTATTTATTTCCAGTAACATCCATAATTGTGCTGTTGTACAGAAAAGATGATCTGGTCCCAGTCCCATATAGCTCACAATTTGAAGCCCAATAGCCAGTCAGAGAGGATTTATGAGAGAGGGCAAAACATACATATCATAATAAATGATGACACAAGCTTAAATTATTCATCAGACTTACTATTTTTTGTTATCAGTTCTCTCAGCTGTTTGGTTTCCCGGGTTTCCAGGCGTGGTATTTCTCACGCATCACTTTGCTCTGACTCTTGTATGGGTCATCATGGGGGGTGGAAAATTCTCCCTGTTGATGTTATGATACGGGGTACTCAGGAAAGACTTTTTAACTTCATTCCAACCATAATAAGAAAGGGGAGGGGGGTGAATTTTTGGAAGGTGTCCCTTTGTGGCAGCATCTAGTTATGGAGTAAGGAATAAGAATTCCTCTTAAATGTCTCTGGCTGTGGCTCAGGTGGGAATTCCCATGATGGGAATTCCTCTTACAATCATGCTCTTGTTTCAGTTGAAGAATGTGGAGGGAATTCCCCTCATGCTGGTACTCTGGTCTTGGTGTGCTTTCTTTGTATGGTTAGTAGTTGCCCTTTGCTGGCAATTCCAGCTGCAGTGTCAGGCATGAGGAAGGATTTCCTGTCTACCAGCACTGTTGACTGTAGTGCTTACCAGGGATTCCATGCCCCTACACACACACCTCACCCCCCTATTCCAATGCTTTGGTCTTGTTGCATGAGTGATGTGGACTCCTCTGGTACCGGTGATCTGGCTGTCCTGCATGGGAAGAAATTTTCTCATGCTGATGCTTTTGCTGTGGTGTGGCGCATGAGCAAGGGGAATTATTTTTATTGTGACAGTACTGTAGCTGTAGTGTGAGAGGAGAATTGTCCTTATGCTGGTGCTTTGGCTCTGGTGTGGTGCATGGGTAATGAAATCCCCTTTGTGACGGCGCTCTGGCTGTGGTGTGGTGCAGTTTCTCCCAGAAATGGAGCCAGCCCTCACTCTCACTCTTGTTTTGTTTTTTGGTGTAATGTCTAGCTTTATTTGCAGCTCCTTCAGCAGACAGCAGCCGCCTCATCTGGGAACCTGAATACATTGGGCAGCCTCCACCCAATGGGAGGTGAGTTTTTACACCTGAAGGGGCAGGTTCATTGCTGAATAAAGAAGAAATAGTGGTGTTCTGCTAGGGGAAATAGGAAAAGGCTTGTCCAACTTATTCACATCTTTTTGTGACATCCTGAGTTACCAACTACTGCATAGGAGAGAGCAAGCCTGAGTTATCTCCAGATAACTTTCAGTTGCAAATGTGCATAGGAGGATGTTCTTAGGGCTTAGTAAATCTTAATTCCCGTGGTAAGCTGTAATGTGCTATCAGGACTCCACTACCTAGGATGCTTTTCAATATTTGGGTTTTTATGAGTAATAGAGGCATGACACTTGAAATCTTCATACAAGCAGGTATGTGCCTGAAGAACCAGGTATTCAGATAAACACTAATTCATTTATTTTAGTGATCATGCATCCTTTAGGGCTTCTATTTGAAACAGTTTTTTCTTTAAAAAAGTAAAAGCCTAAGAAGTATGAAAAACATTTTGGTCAAAAAGCTGACTCTTAAAAATGGCCCCTTGTGCAGGATCTCAGAGTCACTTGTCTGGTGACTCTGCGGAGCCAATACTGCTACATGTAAGGGAGATTGATTCTATTTTGTCTCAAAATGTATAAGCCAGTTTCTCCACTGGGAAACTATAAGCCAAGCCATCTTCATTAATTCCAACTGTTACATTGGGGATGTAAGAGCAGAGGTCTCTAAAATAACTGGTCCTGCAACCGTTTAGAGATTTGTAGGTAATAAAAAAAATCGTGAATTGAAAATGGTTTATTAGCCAGTGCCCTCAGGGAAGAAGAAAAATAATGAAACATTTTAGTAATTCTGCCCACCCTCTCATGTCCTGTAGATTAGGAGTCTAGCCATCATAATGGAACAAGCTGAAACTTTCTGCTGATAGGTCTTTCATTAAGCTCACAGTTCAGAAAGTGAAAGATTCATAGTTCCAGCATTGCACAAATATATTAAATAACTTAAAATTGCTTGCATATGTTATATAGTAATTCAAAACACTACATGTGTTGTGAGGAGAAGCCAACCTAACTGCTCTAAATGCAGATTAACCTTGAATAGCTTCATTTGTGGGGGTATATGCACTCAGGTGTAACAGTGCAGAAAAGAATGAGTTTATGGAAAATGGTGGTGTGTGTTTGTCACTGGAGACTTGTATATGAAACAAAATATCAATTTTCTCTTTAGACTGACTTCTTTTTGAGATGCACCAAGTCTAATCTGTTCATTCCAGGTTTCTTCATTGCTCTTAGATATGAAATGCTCTGGTAGCAAGCTGTACCATGGAAGCACAAAACACTAATGGATTAATGCCCTGTTGTTTCCTTTTCTCAGGATTTAGAAACCTAAAACCAGTGTAGGGCTTTCCTCCAGTGAAGTGTCCGCAAAGCTGGAGAGGAAATAAGTGTTCTGAAAACAGATGGAGTGAGGTCTTGGGAGAGTGCAGCTAAAGGAAGTGTTGGAAAAGTCTTGTGTGTAAACCCTATACCTGAATCATCTTGTTATTTTTATTTAAATAGCTTATAGCATGCCCATTGCTGTTGTGTAACATGCCTATATGCAAACATTTATTTCAAATTACTTACGCTTGTCAGCAGTACTGATCCTCTTTCAATTAACCACACAAGAAATCAGAGCAAGACAGAAAGTACTTTGATTTCTTTGACCTATTGAGTACATGCTGGTAGGCCACAGTGACTGTTTTGATCATGTGGTGCTGATCATTCATCTTCTTGTTTCCATTTAGAAGCAGATAGAGATGAGGTGAGCCAGCGTATCTGTCTGAAAATACTTGCCTCTGTTATCCCAAGGATGTTGTGGGTTTGGGGGAAAAAGGGTTAGAAGGGGGATGTAGAGTATTCCAGGAGCCCACACTGTGAACTCTGTTGTAGCCTACACTATACACATGTTCAAGAAACTGCTTTAGACCCATTGAGCAAAGACTTGGCCAAAACCAGGAGCTTTGCTTAGTTTTAAACTTGAGTTTTGTGTGATGGGTCAGCAGGAAATAACAAAAGAAAAGGGGATTGGTATTGTAAATAAAGGTAGGAGAAAGTAATGCAACTAACGTGGGTGGGTGAGAAGTAAAATAGGAAGAAAAAGCTCAAGCAGCTGAGGAATTGTTGTAGTAAGAAAGGTATGAAATGAAGGGCAACCAGTGACAAGAACGTATGAGAGATGTGATTGCTGATAGTGAGTGAGTAGTTCTGAAGACTTCCCTGGCTGCTGCTGTTCCCTTGTGGAGGGCCACTGGGCCTCATGCTGCAGGCCAGCTCCGCTTGGGTACAGGCAGATTTGAAGGCCCTTGTCTCTAGCTACTGTTCTAGCTATTTTATGGAAAAAGCACTAATGACTTGAAGGGGTGTACTTGGTAGCCATGTTGGTCTGAGACGAGAAGACGTACAAAAAACTAGAACTCTTGGTTCCAAAATGATACCTTTTATTAGACCAGCTGGGAAATTGCAAGAAAATTGTCCTTTTCTGCAAACTTTCGGGATCAAAGTCCCTTCATCAGGCTTGACTTGAAATGACTTGAAAGCTTCCACTGCCCATAGAAACTGAACCTGGGGATCATTACTGTCTTTCCTTTCTTTGAAGCTAGTTGACTGAGAGTCCTGAACTTACTTTTCTTTTGTAACGAAGGGTTATGGTAAGAAAAAAATTTAGATTTGCTAGCAGTTTCCTTTTGAGTCTCCCCTAGTTGTCTCTATTCCCCTTGTGGAGCTGGAGAGGCTGCTGGGTCCAGCATGCCCAAATGAACAGTGATACCACAGCAGAAACCCTGTGCATTGCTTACTGTGTTGCAGGGTTGAACGCGATGCAGTTACAGAACCTGGCTGCACTAGCAGCTGCAGCCAGCGCAGCTCAGAACACACCAAGTGGCACCACTGCACTTACTTCTTCCAGCAGTCCCCTAAGTGTGCTCACCAGTTCAGGTAAGGTAGCCCATTGTGGCATAATGTACTATTATTTCATGGCTTGATTTGAGAGTCCTTTTAAAGCAGGTTCCCCTTGTCTTGGTCTGTAGTTGATGCACTGTCTGTTTTTGAGTGGGCAGTCCTAACCAGCAGGATTGTTTTCTTTATTTGCCTGTCTCATCAGGTTCTTTAGTTTTTATTCTTCCAGGTATACATACACCAGCAAATGGTTTAATCTGAAGGAGTTATTTCCTCCTGGTAGCTCAGGTTAATCTTGAGTAAAAGGGACTTTTGCAGGTTACCATGAGACAGGAAGGCAGCTAGCATCTTTCAGTCATTGCTAGTGCCTTCTGGTCAGTCACTACTTAACTAGTATTGTTGGTGGATGCTGTGGTTTTTGGCCTGTACTAAGCAGGGAGAAGAAAAAAAAATCCAAGATCTGTAAGGATATATGAGAATATCAGAATCTAACCTCTAACTTAATAAATGCTTCTAGTCTTTATAGCTGTGTGGGAAAATATGACCCAAGTGTAACTGATAAAATAAGATCTGTCATTTATCCTCTCCATCAGTTGGATGGACAGCTGAATTTATTTGGTTTCTCTTACTCACTGGTGAACCCACAGCAGTGGGAATGGAAGAGGTATCCCTGGATGTTGCACACAGTCTTAGAAGACGGAGGAGCTGTACCTGCCATTGGAGGTGTTTCTTTGTTGCCCCTGCATCCTTCCTGTAAACATATTTGGTCCCCATAGCTCGGAAGAGATTAGGGGATGGCTGGTTGTGAAGCTGGTGTGGATGCAATGGTGGTTTCTGAGGGATTGGCTTTCCCTCGGTAGAATTTGTTGGATATCCTGCTGACTTCTGCAGGATTTGATGAGGCAGTGATGCATCCTAGAGCTCCAGTCCTTCCCTCTAGCCACTTAGTTCCATAGGTCGGACTGGAGGGAAAAAGTGTTGCTTCTCTTTGAAATATTAGCCGTTCCTCATGCCAAAATAAGACATTGTTTACATTGATTGTATGGATCTATAATTTTCCTCATTCTTTCCTACAGACTTTAATAGCAGTGAGATAGACAAGTATTACCATTTAGAATACTTATAATTGGGTATCTGAGATGAAGATGTTTGGGAAGTTTTTGCTTCTGCTAGATATTGTTTGATGCTGTCTGCAGATTCACATACAATTGTATTGATTAGCCTTGGTTTATATTTTCAGTCATTTCTCCAAAGCTACAAAGCCTAGAGAATTTTTTTAATTTAAAAAAGAAATTAAAGTTAAGATTCTAGAGAACAACACAGACAATTTGGCCTAGTTCTAGTCCTTTCTTTTAGGGGGCTATGTTGTTCATATTTACACTTTTTTTTTAAAATCAGCATTGTAAAAAATAAGCAGTTTCATGGTATATCTCCTAAACATTAGTTACAGAACTCTGTAAGTCTTTACACTATTGGTTGAACGATCATAGATTTCATAGACTTTAGGGCTGTAAGGGACCTCGAAAGATCATTGAGTCCAGCCCCCCGCCCAGAGGGCAGGAAGTCAGCTGGGGTCATAGGATCCCAGGAAGATAAACATCCAATTTGCTTTTGAAGGTGTTCAATGTAGGTGCTTGAACCACCTCCGATGGCAGGCTATTCCAGACCTTGGGGGCTTGGACAGTAAAGAAATTCTTCCTTATGTCCAGCCTCAAACAATCTTGCAGTAGTTTATAACCGTTCGACCTCGTCATCCCTTGGGGCGCTCTGGTGAACAAACGTTCCCCCAGATACTGGTGGTCACCCCGATAAACTTATAGGTGGCCACCAGGTCACCCCTGAGCCTGCACTTTTCCAGGCTAAAAAGCCCCATAGCTCTCA